GTGTGTGTGTGTGTGTGTGTGTGTGTGTGTGTGTGTGTGTGTGTGTGCGTGCGTGCGTGTGTGTGTGTGTGTGTGAGAGTATTTGCAGCTGGGGTCTTTTGAAATACTTTAATATGAGCAGCTACTTGCCCCTTTACTGGGAGTCTAATCCCTGCAGACTCTACATCAGAGACAGAGCATGCAGTCACACAGCTGTGACACATTGCAAAAGGCAACACAATCTATAGAAATAGGCTAAATGATAAATGTCAGGTTTTGGTATCAGAGCCTCTGTTTGGAGCTGGAATTTTGTTACAATGATGTCTCACTTTTCATGGAACAAGACTAAGAGCCCTATCTTACACCCGGCACAAAGTGGCACACCGTGCAGCAACGCAGCAACACAGCATGTTTAGGAAAACACATAATCCTATGCCAATAGACCAACATTGCTATCCTTAAAAACTCCCTTTCATGCTCTCATATGATGAGTGGAATAACCTGGAGAGACCTCATTAAGCAGGATAAGAAAATTAGCTTCAATACAGAAGTGCTATAGAATTTCTTCTAGAAGTGTGTTCATAGATTAATACAGGTTCTGCAGGTTTAAATCAGTATCACAGAGAATACCCTGATGTTTTCATTTACATCAATGAATACATTTATTAGTATAGTTGATGAGGCAGAATGAGTAAGTTTCATCAGAAAAGTAAATCTGATCAGGGTTCTGGTAGACCTGCCACAGCAGCTGTCACATAATGCATCATGTTGATAAAAGTAACACTGACTCACAGAGAAAGGTCTGGCAGCTTTAGCCAAGGGAACTCTAAATATCAGCCAATGACAATAGGAACAAGTTTCATTCTTGATATCTGCCAACAGAAGAGGTAAACCCAGGACGAGGACCCAGGTTACCCACCACATTCACAAGCAGATACTATCTATCTGAATCTGTAGAACTAGTCTGCACCTGCTGGATGGGCCTCAAAGCTCAGTGATATATTCTCTGTTACTTATCAACATTGGCGCAGAAGCTCTTTCCCGACCTCTCAATCAACCAGTTTGAGAAGTGTTTCAGATTAGACGGTTTCAGACTGATAATCCAAATGCACTTTTGCTCAGATTACTTCATGCCTGCGGATTATGGGTCATGCCATCATCACATATTTGCTGCTGAAAGAGAGAGATTCATGCTTGGACTGTTTTTAGTTTGTAGTAGGTATTTGTGCGGTATAATGTGTGTTTGCGTTCCACATTTGTGGCTGTCTGTGCGTTTACAGGTGCTTTTAAATTGTGATCTGCAGTCTGGCTTTGAGCTCCATGAGCACACTGAAACGAATGGCTTCTACATTAGATGGAAGATTGTTTAAATGTGTTTAGTTTTGACATCATTCCCCCTTTACAGTTCAAAGGCTTCAAATCTGCTTCTTTTTCCTCTTCTCTGTTTTCAGTGTTTAGGTTTCAGCTTATGTTTTAATATATTATTGAATCAACTGTAATACTCTAAATAACTATTTCAGAAGTCTGCTTTTTCTGTTGTCCTTGAAACTTGGCAAAATCATCACTTGCCAGACTTATTTGCAAATACTGTGCGCATTTGTTTGTGTGTCCCATGAATATCATTTGACTGATACTACTGGGGGGTATTTGCACGTCCCACATATAAAACTCATGTTTTGGTTCCAGTCTGTGGACATTTATCCAGACCTCTGGGCCACAGAGAGGAGTAAGGGCTCTGCTCTGTCAGGACAACCAAGGAAAGTGAAAGGAGATGAGACTGATGGATGACATGACTCCCTATCTGGCCAACCCTGCTGCTTCTTTTTCATTTGGCGATGCGTCACATTAGCATTCAGGCTGTCCCCCACTGAAATGAATCGCAGCTTATTACAGTAATGAAAGTGTCACGACAGAATTAATTAAATGAAGCCAGAATGAATTACTGAAACGGAATAACACAGAAATGACAAAGAAATATAGAACATAATAAAGAAAATAGAACAGATGAGAGAAGAGAACACAACAAGATAGTATCAAATAGACCAGTGACAAGTCCTCAACATTTTTTGGAAGGACAGTCTCCGACATAAATATCTGAGCCAAATTTCATAGCAAACCCTCAAAACCACCAATGTGAACCTCATGGTTGCTCTAGATTCAATGAGGATCACCAAGGTCAGCGAGCTTCATTCTCTGGGGACCATGAACGGCTGCACAAAATGTCATGCAAATCAATCAAATAGTTGTTGAGAACCAAGCACCGACAGACTAACATTGCCATCCATAGAGCCTCTGGCCTGGCTGATGTCTCCCTGAGTGTGTTGAGGAAGGAATAGCATTTGGCTGCCGGGGCCCACCCAGCTACAATCCACCTTCCACACATAAACTAATAATGCTGGGCCAGCGGTTCGGCAGGCTGACGTTGTTGCCATATTGGATGGTAATAAGATGAAGCTTCAACCCATAACTTTTTCATGAATTTCATGGATTTCATTATTTTCCTGCCCTTTCCCCACTTTGCCCCATTGTTCCCTTGACCTGTTTATGGTTTGGATTCCAAAATAATTTATTTACAGTTTAGCACCTACTGCAGTTGCATTATTTACCATCACAGATTTAATCTGTATTCCCGAAAAAAGAAAAGTGTCTCGGTTTTGGTTCATGACTTTTTGATTCCCTGTGAAGTATACATCAGCTGCACGCTGGTCTCAGCAGTCTGACCATTTGACACTCCCATAGATGCAATCTGGTCTCGCTCAGGCCCCCACCATGCACAGCGTGTGTGAACGTGTTTGTGTTGATGGAGTACAAGCATGTTTGTGTTTATGTGTGGGTGTGTGCAACCGGTAATGGCAACTACAATTTTGTACATGCGTGCATGTGAGGCATCCTGACACCCTGTCTTGCACTTTGCCACGTTACCACTTAGGCTCATCATCAAGCTTCCTGTCGCTGGCTTGAAATAACACAACAAAAAGAAACACAACAAGAACACTTGTTTACATGTTGTCATCTCAGGAGCCTGAGTCTGGCAGCTGAGCTGTTCTTCCTCGCAGGGGGTTTGCTATGTATACCAAGCGGTGTTGATGAGATTCAGGCAAACGCATCTGTTCCAATGGTTTGTTTCACCCAAGACTGTTATCTCATTTTCACAACGTACGACATAATATAAGACATGCAAAAGAGAGTTTGGGGAAGGGCAAAAAGTTTTGAAGACCAGGATCAGGAGAAATCCTGTCAGGGAAAAAAGAAATGATACATTGTCCTTATAATTTGATCAGACTGGCAGTGACTTAGTCTAGTAAGAGAAATGTTGAAGCAGCAGCAGTTCAGCCTCTTGCCAGTGGGAGTTGAGATCGTCTGTGTTTGTCAGTGTGTAAGTGGGTGTGTTTCCTCCTACTTTCAGTTTGTGGCTGCAGTTGGGCAGTGTGGCCGTCCTTGACGCTTCCTGCCTCCAGTGATATTTGTTGTTTATGTGTACTAAGACAACTCTGACGTCCTTCCCCCTTGTTTTATTCCATCAGTGAAGGTGACCATGGTCGAGTGAAAGGGGAACAACGTGCACTTTCAAAATGAATACGTGTAATTTCTTTGGTCTGAGACAATGAAAAAATATTCGTAAACATGAACAAGTCTCAAATTCCCCAAAACTAGAGTGCAAAAATTAAAATTATGATGTCATGAAGTATATACATAGAGCACCCAGGGGAATGTATACGAGTACATTTTCTGTTTTAGAACTCAGAGCACTACAATGGAATACAGCTCATCTGGCTTTAAAAAAAGAAAAATCAGTCTCCCATTCATTGTCTTTGGAGAAGCTCTATACTTGATGTCATCACAAGCTTGAGACTTACTTTTCTGGTGTCTGGCTTCGAGAGAGATGTTCACAAATATTTATAGAACGTTCCTAGGCCATGGAAATAACATTGTAATTCTTAATTTAGGCGGCATTCCTACATCAGATATATACTGTAGATGTTGATCTAAATTTACAAAGAGGCAATGTTTTCATGTCTCAGTTGCTTGTCTGATTTCACTAAAGTTTCATATACACTAAGGAATTATTTGTTTTTGGTGCGAGTATTGCAAATCTATAGTAATTTTGAAACCCTTTTGTTTTGCTTTACTATATGCCGTGCCATTTCCCTATGAATGGTTGCCAAATAGTTGCATGCATGACTTATTTGATTTACTGTATATTTCCTTAATTCCTTAACACATTGTGCAAAGGCAACCACATTTACATCTTATCAATTCTATTTGAAGCAATCCTGCAAAATGTCACAATATCTCACTAGTCATAAATGTGTCTCCCTTTAAATTTTGCATAGTTCATCTTTGTACAAAGCCCTAATATTCCTGGACAGGAGCTTGGTATTCTCCAAACAATTATGGCTGCCATCAGCCAAATGATAATAAATCCCTTTTTGTAGTTTAATGCAGATCCTGATCCAGACACATACTTTAGCTCCATAACCATATAACCAAACATTTGTTGGGGGTAAAATTAGACTTTGAAAGGATTCTGTGGCCTCTGCATGGCGCATGCACGCTCTACCTTTTATGTACACTTATGTTTTTGGCTCCAGTATCTTCAGTTCATAAAGACTTTTACGGTTTGTTGTTCTACACACACACACACACACACACACACACACACACACACACACACACA